GTTCAAATCCAACGCGAGGGGATGTGAATTTTCTCTAATTCCCTTAAAGCAAGGAATTCATTCACCCCACTCTGCTTAGGTGCATCAGCCGAAAATCGTGTATCAAGTAGTTTGCGAGTAATGGGCAGCACGATGATGTGACGCGGTCAGCCGACAACGAGCGAGACATACGACCATGGTGACCGATGACTGAGTTTTACGACGTTGCAATTCGATTTGACCCACATGAAAGCTGATTAAAAATCAGAACAAGGTGTAAATACAAATTTCTAAAAATATGATTACAAAGTGTTTTTAAACAACGTTACGTGTATAGCGCCTAAACATGGATCAAATTAAATCCCAAACTTTGGACAGTTTTAATACGGTCGTAAATCTTTAAAAACGATGGTGATAAATGACAGTTAATAAATTACTATTAATATGTTAATCAAAAAGGGTGGAGCAAATAAGAAAATACCAAAACTTCGATTTCCACCTGAATCCGGTTAAGTACAATGCAAACAACACCAATTCACCTCATTCTAATCAATCTGGGAGAGCCTAACTACCAGAAGCTCGCAGAAAAGCTAAAGAAGTGCCAGAATGTTGTATGGCATACAACCAGAACAGTGCGAAAACTCATGAATATTATTACTTGGTAGCGGGCTTAAGCTAGCCGCCTACGCATAGCCCCTGACTGCCGGGAAGCTGAATTCTATGAGAGAATATGAAAAAAAGAGAAAAAAAGCCGAAAAAATTCACCAATAAAATAATGAAAATCGACCAAGTGTTGTGATTTTGTATATGTTTAGTAAAGGTCCTAAAATCAGCATAAAGATTTTAAAAGGAAACCGTCGCTCTGGACAACACTGCCTGTGCCCAACACCAGGATTTGCAATACGCTGTCGCAGAGAAGACAGCCGTTTACATATAATCAGCATCATGCAGTTCGCAACACTGGTTTATTACACTAAGTAATGTCATCCTTTGCTATACTGATCGTGTTTACGCCTAAAGGAGAACTGCAACTAAAGAATGAATAAACAAAAAGTGTCGAGCGGACGGAATTAAGAAATATAACAATCGTCACGCCACCTGAAGTTCAAGAGCTGGGAAAGCAGGTGCACCAATGCTATATAATCTTGAAAGTTCATGTGGTTTATCTCTGCACGCGGACATTTCTCAATGTCATGCCAAAGTACTGCATATGACTGGCTAAGTGTAGAAGCTTGAACATCGTCGTTAAGTCAATTTTCAAAGCCTTGGACAACCAAATATTGTGAAGTTACTACCTTACTCCAATTCTTCATGTTTATCCATCAAACGCCGTACGAATTCTATATTCTTCTAAACGATAAGTCGTAATACTTAATTAGTTTGCCAGACTGAATAAGTTTTCTTAATGTATTATTTGTGTGCATTAATACAAAAATGTTTCCAAAAAACTTCCCTACAAAGTACAAAACCCAGTCGAGCTTCGAATTCGCCATATCTTACTGAACTCACTCAGGATCTAATGGATTTACAGCAGCAGTTGCAGACCTGTATAAACAGGAATATCAACAGTGGCGATTGGTGACTCTCTATTCAACACTTCGTAAACCGTACATGCGCTTGTTGTGAAAAGTGGGAATGAGAACAAAAATAAAGTGCAAATAAAACTGAACTATAAAGAAAACAAAGAACTCCCAGAAGCAGTAAATTCGTGTCTCGGTTAAAGAACAGATTTTAAACAACGATCGCAAACGAATACGTTTAACCATAAACCAAATTCTGCCATACCTATAGCGATAAAGCATGCGGCGAACAACCCGGCACCAGCAGACCATAGCTCTTTGGTCAGAAAGTACGTCGCAATGGCTGTTAGTCCACTATAACATAATCATTGTCAGGTAAAAACAGCGAAGAATCAAAGTCGTCAAAGGTCACCTGAAGACCGGTGCCAAGAATACGCAGATCTCTCTGATGTGGACTGGTATGTTTAGAAAATGAAGAACATTGTAAATGGCGCCGGAGGTGAGCATCAGACCTGGGAAAACGGTGCCACCGACGATTCTTCCCAGCGGGTACCACGAACGGTCATCGAACCAGTTAAGGAAGTTGTAGAATCCATTGTGGACCATGTAATGAGTGGCGCGGTAATTAAACCTTCGAATTATTGAATTGAACAAGGCAAAAAGTCAAAAATGTGTTCAAAACAGTATCAACTTTACCATGGATCAAATTCATGAATGATACTTTCGAATCTGATGACCGAAAACATACGGGAACTGAATCCGATCAACCAAGCGAGGGCGAGGATGACAAAGATGAGAAAACTTTTCCATCCCTTTGGTTTACTGATCAGTTTTTGTATGTCCGACTCAGCAGGCATCTTCGATGTGTAACTACACTGTCATAGTACAAGACATACGTCGCAATAAGCCACGGTTTCGAATACAGTATTATCAGTAGGATTTTAATGGCTGAAAATCAGATTACGCAGTTATATAAATTATGGATACATACTCAAACATTTGCTCATCAATGTCGCATGTCTGCTTAACCTTTGTTAAAAATAAAAGCAATGGCGGAAGTGGATCAGCATGCAAGATTGCGATAAACGAAATCAAGGTAACTGAGTGTGCTTTAACAGGTGGTTGTGCACAACTGAAGATAAATGCAGAACTGCTTTCGAGGAGGAATATCTCCTTCTACAGATACAGCAACCGGTGCCTTATAGAAGAAGTATTTTACATTAGTAATCACAACGTATATCGCAAATCATGGAGGTTCTACTTATGCAGATGGTTCAAGGCGATAATCAGATGCATATACACACAAAAACATATTGAAGAAATCCAAAAAACTGAAATCCAGACGATACATTGAATAGTCGACTATAAGGAGGATGAACGCATGGTGCTATCAAAAAAGTGCTAGCCTGGGCAGGATGGCTGTATATTTAGTTCATTTTGGCATTAAAAGAGCAGAACATCATGCTGCCGTCATTTTTCGCAAGTACCAGTCGTTTCTCATCCAGTTGCCCGAAGCATCGTGGTATTAATTTTTTGCTAAAGGGAATTCGTCTAAATAATTTAAATTGTACTTCTTTGGGTCTTAGGTTGTTTCTTCAGAGGATTAAATCCGGCATTTTGAATTCAAAGCTAATCTCTCTGTGCCGGAGTTCAAAGCTGACCGAATGCCACGACTCCCCAAAGGACACTCCTGACACAAAGTTGGAAAAATTGACGACCACGGTCAATAAAATGAATTCTGATTGAAGGAACGACGAAAATCTTTTGCTTCTGTCCTCCGAGTTAATGATTCCGACTCCTTGTGAGTGAAAAGGTTGGCGAAAGTTGCCTAATGAATGATGTTGACGATAGTGAATGCTTCTGCCATGAAAAGCAGCCATCTAATACTATTTGGAAAATTTGTTCTATTATCGTTTGTACAAACAATAGAAAATGCGCATAGAGAATTTCGAATTAAGTCACATGGAAGAATTCACTTCAAGCGCGAATTTTTATGGAATCGCCTAAACTTTTATTTTTCCTGCTGAACCATGAGGGGTGGCATTATGTCGAACTTGTATCATGCGTTAGGACAAATCAATTGTGTCAAAAATTGCTGTCCCAAGTGACGATATGGAAATCATATATTTATGCAATCATAGAATATATTGCTTATACAGTTTGGAGGCAATCAGGTTTTCAGAATGTAGTTAATCTTGGCATATGATAAATATGAGGCAGCATATCTATGGTTTTCGATTAAATGTGAAGTTGGCTATGGAAATGTTCATTTGCCTTTACTATACTTGACCTCTCGACGTGACCATAACAGGTTTGACACTAGAAGATATGAAGGTCTCATCCAGTTAATATTTGGTTGAAACGGAGTCGGCAAATGATATTATCCTAGTGAGTAGTACGGAGAGTGGGCTCTGTTATCTGCGGCGTACTTATGCGATGCAGCTATAGCGAAACCTCGTTTTTTCCTCAACATGAAGAACTCATCCGGCAGAGATAATCTATAAGCAAAATAGAAAGGTGAAGCACTTCAGAAGGTTAATCAACTTAAATATGCCAGCTCTGCCCTTTCCAACGACGGCACCGTCATACCAGAATAAATAAGAAAATTCGCTATCGCCGCCAGAGCTTTGGTAACCTGGCTAATATTTGGGCTGAGAAACGCTTCTTTCCAAAAAAGCCAGGTCGTTGTTGCTGTAAATGATGAAAAGATTTGTCCCAACGAAGACTAAAAATGATGGTTGAAGTTGCGTAGCTGCAATTTCCTCTACGCATAGTGAGGAGTAAATGATAGAACAATGCAATGAATAACTCTATTTTGTACCCGGTACATATGACTTCAGTAAATGTAGAGATTAAAAAATGAAGGTGGTCTTGTTAGACAAACTGAGTGAGCATAAACTATTTACTTCAGCAGCGTGAGTTTCTCATATAGAAGCATAAAGACTGCAGACGTTGTCCTTGGGGCGGTCAGCATACGACCTGAAAGAATAAGGTGGAGATAGGTCTGCTTGCAAAGTAGAATAACGACGTAGTAGCCGGTGCTTTATAGCAAACGTTATGTTAAACTGCGAACACAACTTGCATTACAAACAGGAGAAGTTTTGGTTATGCAAACAACTCAAGGCTATGGTTTGAACAACAAGCAATGCGAACAGTTTATGGGTATGTGGCAGTAGTCATATAAAGCGATATTTGCGATGTTTCTTCGAATGCACCTGGCTCCTTTCAACTAGATGAAATGTTCTCCATCTACAAGTAAGGACTAAACCACTCAGCAAGAGTAACTTTTCAGAGAAATCCTGTTAGTGTTATTTTAGTGATCCGACTCTGCTTTCCAGCTGTCTTCATTTCCGTTGTCTAGTCTATTGCATACCGATCTCTGTTTATGTCGATCGAGTATTTTCCTCCTTTGCTGAATCGCAAATTGCTCCAAAGTTATTACAATTAATTAAATTAATAAATTTGAAGTAATTTGCGAATTAACGTATATAGAACGAAGCCTCTAGATGAGCAGATGAGCAGATCTACTCCTCTAGTTAAGAAACTGAGCAAACCGAAATATTTTCTCAGAAAATCTTGCCTAAACTGTGCTTTCGATTTTCATGATGTCTGCTTTATGAATGATTCTATACACCAGCCTTTCTGTTTCAAAACTACACATCGCCAGCTGGCGCAACGGGGGCGTGATGGGTATCATTTCAATGAAGTCCTGTCTGTGTGTATTTGAAGATATCGGAGACATGCAGGTGAAACGCAGCTATCTTCATGAACTATGATATATGCCCTTGATTGGATTTAAGCGTGTCCTTGGCAGAACTGGTTCTAAATCGATCGGCTGTTTTGCTGACAACTTTACGTGGCGGCTGCTCATTACTGCGAAACTTGTCGGCGAAATGCTCGTCTTCTAGGTCAACTCACAGAAGTTGGCGACATCGTTTGGCAAACAGCGTGTGAAAATGAAACTACTCTGTGTATTAAAGCTTATTGTTGGTGCAACCTTTGCACAAACTTTTTCTTGATTGTTGATTTTGAGTATCTTTATTGTTTGCATTCTTTCTTTCAGTTACAGTACCTGCTCATTTCGGGAGGGGAGAGGGAGGCGGCTGCCTCCCTAACGAATTCAAACAACCCTCGCTCTCCTCTACATACACTGGATTCATGTGCAGGTTAGCTGCGATGTTAATTAGAGTGCCGTTAGTCTGCCAGAAAAATATTGATTTTGACTATGTATACAAAGAGTAGAAGGCTGTCACGTTTGTTACGCGATCGAATGTCGCTTCAACCTGAGGGTCATATCGATTGTTACTAACTGTTTGATGTTGTAGGTCAGCTTGATCGCTCAGAGATGTCGCTTCTGTATGGCTGGTGACTCGTCCGTGCTGTGGATCATCTTACCCTTGGTAATCTGCGCCATAATTATTGCTTTGGCCGCCGCTGTCCCACTGCTCATCAGACGTTATTGCCGTGAATGTTGGCTGGCGAACGACGGAGATCGATGCTGCCGATCTTTCACCTTCTGTCTAAAGACAGCCGAAGGTTGCACTTGCTGTGGATGTCATTGTCAGCCCGTCGAAGAGGATCAGTTCCCACGTAATCGCGGTCAGCTGGAGTACTCACACAACTCTGCTGCTCCTCAAATTTTACTCGCGGACTCGTGATCATTATTACGGTTCTTTTTTCCAACCTCACGATCCAATTATTAGTTCAGCACTGCATCGAAGAGAATACGAAAAAAAGGAAGAAGAAATTATTGCAGTCGTCTTCTGGCGGTATAGCATTCAGGAACAAATAAATATTGGAATATCGGAAATGAAGTTCACAATCTATGTTGCTTGCTTTTACTTCAGGGCGCGGATTTGTTGTCTGCAAAGAGTTTGTATGTCTAAAAACTAATCTGAACCGAACGTGTGGCATTTCCAATTATCGTTTTTCCTACACTGAACTTAAAAACGAATCGCTACTAGCCTGAAAGCTTATAATATATTTTTTTCACGGAAATGTTAGCGAATGGTGAATAAAATGTTTGATAGCATGTCCTTAAATGCTACAGATCTCGTGCTGTTGTTGTATCTTCGACTATGACTAAAAACATGAAAAAGGTATTAAGTATCATGGGTGCAGTGGGTCATTCGAAAGTTCACTAAAGTTTACCCGCATTAGTAAGATGATTAAATAATTTTCTATTTACGCATCAGTCACATAATCGCCTTCAGTCCGCGTGGTTCGCATCCATCACGTTAATCTAAGGTTTCCCGATTGAACAATATCCCAAACAAATCGTACATTTCAGCAATGGCGATAAAAGAACAAGGACTACATTGAGTAACAAATAGTGAAATGAGCAAAACCGTAATAGGCTGCCGATTGTGCCATTTCTTTGCCAGGATGCCCAGTGAGAACTTGTTGGATTTTTTTATGTTTAACGCCACCATTATTGTAATCCACCGTAAATTGAAGCAGCTGCTTCATCCTTCTTCTCATCCAGTAGCACTGAAAACTACGCCATACGCGATGCAAACATTCCACCTGCATGGAATAAATGCGTGTTCACTCTTCAGCAATTTCAGTGTCGTGTTAGTTGTTAGTTGATCTTGTTATCGTGTTTGAGGTTTTTGTTCTTTCACCTACCGCTTTCTGCTCAAATACCTCACCATCTCAAACTTTTTGACTGCGGCCAATTAGTCATCCACCTTGGTTTGATATTCTAGTTTATCTCGTACGACAGCATTTACTACCAATTAAAACTACTTTGTTCTAAATGTTACTCTTAAAATCTTCACAGCATCGAGTCTAAATACTGCGGCAAGATATACCTTGGAAAGATCAATCAGAAATTGAATATACGAGAAAAGAACACTTGTTTGTAGTCCAATTCGTGCAGATTAATTACTCTGATATCTCTCTTTCTGTGAGAAACTCCTTCAATCAAATGAATATGTCTCTAATCGGTAAGGGCAAATCAAGACTTGGTCTTTTGATAAAGGCGTAACTATGCTGGCAATGAAGGATTACACGTACCAGGAATACTTCACTGTTGTAAGTGTAAGTGAAAGCTTGGGTACTTTTACGAATATGATAGGAATATTTGGAATGGTGAAATAAATGGTAGGGGTAGCATTTAGAATTGTTAACATGACGGTCAAGATCTGGTCTGTCAGTCACTGTAAATCGAGGTATTTGGTTTACGTAATGCGGTTAGGTGCCTGATAATCAGTTGTGATCCGGCGATGTTATTGCGTGCGTAGCGCAACGCGTTGGTAAAAAAGCGTTGACACCTGTTCTGGTTCCTGGCAGAACATCTTTGACTGAATGACAAGATATAACCCTGATGTTCTGGGCGACTTTTCGATACTGCCACTGAAGCATCACATTAAAAATAATGATAGCGGATTGAAACGGCGAAAATGCGCAGTGTAAAGAAAGAAAAAACAGAAATATATTTTTCTCTTAACACCGACAGCACTATTGTATCGTCCCCTTGTAAACAAACGCATAATCAGCGAATTGCCAAGATCTGTAGGATCTGTAGGTGATTGAATGACAAGATATAACTCAGATGTTCTGGGGAACTTTTCGATACCGCCTCTGAAGATATCACGTTAAAATTAATGATACCGGAATTGTTCAACTTTCCTGCGAGATGCGGTCCTGCGTTCTACGCACTGCAGGCGCTTAAATTACCATGGAGCCGTGGTCTGTTTAAATGGCCCCGGTAGGCATCTAGAAGCAATGGGGCAGTGCAATAGAGCTGCTGTGTACAGTGGGAAATAGACTTTCTTTCTTTACACTGCAATTTCACCGTTTTAATTCGGTATTATTATTTTTAGTCTTTTATCTGCGATTTAACTGCTTCGTTTCCCAAATCATTTTTATTAACTTTGTTATTGTATACATTCAATCTAAATTTTACTTATATAAAATGTTATTTGAAAATATTGGTTATGCCGTCATCGTCTAGTGGTTAGGACATTGCGTTGTGGCCGCAATAACCCAGGTTCGAATCCTGGTGACGGCAGTTTTTTCTTGAACATTTCTTAGCATATCCACAGGGTTGACCATTGTTTCGAATATTAATCGGAAATTTTGATAATTTAAATAAATTCACCTGCTGACTAAACTCTGTTCCTAAATCGAAAAGAAATTTGTCACTGGATTTCTGTTGTTATTGATACGAAGAAATAAGCTGTTTATTGCCCGAAATTTCTCATGTGCATATCTTCCGTTGTTAGCTAGCATAGTCGAAAAAGGCAGCGCAGTTTTATTTAAAACAGCACAGGTGACTGTTTTTCAGGCGATCAACCACCGACAGCGTTTGACCCGCATTTCGTTGACATTTTCCGAAGTAAGGCTACCATTTCTTACGCTGGCGTTGTCGTCCAAAACCGCTGAAATATTTACTCAGCTGTATCGAAACTTGAAGGATCGGTACAATTTTGAACGATATCTCGAGGGAATTTCATTTTTAGCAGTAACAGGAAGAAACCGCTAAAGCTAAAAATATAACCTTTCTATTAATTCGATCATAATTTTTGCTTTTCTATTAATTCGATGGAAGACACTTTTTAGTTAAACCAAAGGGGTACCCATGGGCAACTCATTCCCCTCTATTTTTGCCAGAATTTTTATGAACCATTTCAAAATTATGGCCCATAACATAATCTCTCACTTGTTTCGAAAGATTTCTAAAGGTTAGACAGCGATATTTTTGCCATTTCTCACAGTGGAAATGAAAATAAACTATTGATCCCTCTTTCTCTCGAAATATCCAGCTAATCATTGAAAAAGAAAATAACTGAAGTCTACCTTTTTTGATATCTTAATAATTGTCTCTGGTAATTGCTATGAAACTAAAATTTATCGTAAACCTTATCACATTGATAAATATCTATAATTTGACTGAGAAAATCATTTAAATAACGAAAGATCTGTGATTATAGCTTTAGCAGACAGACTGTTAAACTATGTAGTAATGAATTTCTCATAGAAGTGAAACATATTAAAGAAACCTTCTATGATAAAACATAATTATTTTGTCATTCGTTAATAACACCATGAACATTAGAATAAGTTACTGTAAATCTGCTTGTGACATAAATAATGGAAAGGTGGCAGTTTAAATAATAAACAGTTAATTCTACCTTATCATAAAAATTTCAGTGAAAGTTACAACGATTACTTAACACGTTAATAGCTTAATATTAACGTTACATATAAAAGCTCTAACAAACTTATTGTGCAGTTAACTAATTCTGAGAATAAAAACCTCTAGGTAATTTCAAACTTACGTGTAACTATGGGAAATATTGCCTATGAGAAACATGAAACACTGTCACTCAAAAACACAAAGGTATACTTATCAACCTGGAAAAAATCGACTTTCGCTGATGAACGCTAGTGACATGCGATAACAAGGCACTCGGAAAGAAAACAAATCCTAGCCTCTAACCAGGTCAAAGAATAACACGAAGAAAACCTCCGGTATTGTGCAATACGAGAAAGTTCATGTTCCTCAATCGTCATGTTACACGGCCATTATCAAAGAAAGAAACACGCTGAACAGACGCATTGTTTATTATTTACTTGGAAAACGCCAACCGGGACAAAAGATATAAAAATAACAAAATTTTATAATTTAAAAAATGTTCAAAGCAACCGGATTTGATATGCATTGTCAAGCCAGAAAACTACTTTACACACGGCATCGACCAAAGATATGCTTTTTGTCTCCAAATGTTATACTAGCTGCGGATCACAGAACGAACATCGCAAATCAACACTATGAAGCATGAAGAAGGTCCCTGAGACCCGATTACTCAATTTGTTTGCGTCGCGTGTGTGGGCAGCTTGCAAAATTGACCCTTCCGTTTGAAAGCCATAATGGAGCAGTATACAACACACACAGAAGTTACTAGGACACTCACCCCACACCCACCCATATTTCAAGAAATTTTCAGCCATCACTACACACAGCTCAGACATCCAAGGAAGATTAAACCAACATGAGCAGTTCTGGTGAAAGCCGCGAATAGGAATCTTCATCATCATCGCTTTGCATAGTTCATGGCTGAACTATAACGCCTAGCAGCGTTTAGTTAATATACCGCTGAACAATAATAAATTTCTGGGTTTGAATATTTTCCAACAGTTCTTGTCAAAAACTTCTACAACCCATCTTACAAACTTGCCTGTGGTTGGGTCGCTGATGAATAAATCACTTATATACTTTCATATTTTTTGGTCAGCAAAAGTGTGATTATACAGTGCCACTAACGCGTATTTTATTCTTTCAGTGTCACCGATTTAATATAAAAAATGAATGTGTTCTTCCTCTTTAATCACTTCCAATTATTAGCGTGGATACCATCCCAAGCTATAAGTCGATTTAACTGATCGACAGGAAATGATTTGGCCAGAACTAGATGCTTTTGTCATATTTTCATTTGTTTCGTGTTTTGCCGAAATATATCTGCTGCTGGATCAAGGCCTCTAAAAATCTTCGCCACAGGCCTCTGTTTACTGCCATTTTAATCTATCTTGATTCTGAGAACTTCTTCAGCTCATGTGACCATCCATCTTCAGGTCTTCCTGCAGGCCATTTACGTTTTCTTTTGGAACCCAGTCTAGCGTCTATCCTGCTCAGTGATGGTCAATTCTTCTT